ACAGACCTTGGGAACAGAACTTGTTCTTAAACTGGGGACTACTAGTAAACAACAACAACAGCAAAGTCAAAATCATACAAAAAGGAAAAAAAACATTTTGATAGAGGCATCCACAGGGGGGTCCAAAAAGTTAAGATGGTAGATGCAGCAGTGTGATTGAAACCCTGCCCCCTTTTAACATGCGTTACACTTGTTGCATACATTTTAAAAGGGGCGGGGCTTCAATCAAACTGCTGTACCCACCATTTTGACTTATTGGATCCCCTAGTTGATACCCCTATTTTGGCTCAATGGGATGCATGAGTGCAGGCTACCTGCAGCCCCCAAATCCTTCCCCTCTCTCTCTCTCTCTCTCTCTCCCTTCCTTCCTTCCAGCTCCTGGTGACTGCAATTGCTAAAAATTGGTGGCATATCTTCTCATCATTTTCAAATGAGGAACACATGAACAGTTTAGTGTAAGTTTTAGAAAAAGCATAACAAAACTGAAATAAAATGAGAAAGAAAATCTTGTCTGCGCTCACATGTGTAACATGGCTTGTCCCTTTTGTATTATTCCACCTAGTGGAGTCATCAGTGTTAAATGCAGCTACTCTGCCCTCCCCCGCCCCCAGTCACCAAAGAGTTACTCAATCCTGTCCTGTGGTCAACAACCATAGTGCCCTGAGAGTAGTTCAAGTGACCTACTTTAGATGGGGTTCTTGTGAAAGGAGATGGAAGCTATTTGGCTGGCATCTCTTCCCATTCTACAAAGTAATGTTCTAGTTGTAACCATAATCTTTTCTAGGCAGATCTCATACTCCTTAGTTTACCAAGTTGAGCAGTCTCTGGCAATTGGTCTGTTGCTTTTGGCTATGTGAAGATGGTGTTTCATCCATACACTCAGGTTTGACTCCTGATGATCTGAAGTTAAATAGAGCCAGTTAAAAGAAACTGGGTCTATTTGGAGGAACACTCAGGATAAGAGAATCTCAGCTATCAAGATGGTAAACAAAACTATCCATTTTGTGTTGTGCCCAGGAAGCCAATTCTCTTTTTCAACCAACACACTACTCAGCACAAGGAATTGCCAACATAAATTCCTCTCTTCCCTATTGGTTTTGGTTACTTCACTGGAAAACCCAGTTTGTGCAGAACAGGGGATGTCAAGCCTGGGAGATGAGCTTATCAACCCTACCAACTAGGCCTCCAAAACTTCAGAGAAATCTGTTATTGCTTATGTTCATCTTCTGCTCCTTCAAATAAATGTCTGCCAGGGTTAGGGACGGGGGAGGGGAGAGCAACAGCAGAAGTTGAACTGTCTAGCTTCAAGTTTGAAACTGGTTTTGCTCTAGGCAGAGTATATCTGGGTTGGGGGGCAGGTTGACTATTCATAGCTACAGAACTGCCTACCAAAGTCATGGTTTGGTGATTAAAAACCACATTAAATCATGTGGCTCCTTTCAGCAAGCAATTCTTTCCCACCAGCGCCATCATTTCAGAACATATGGCATTCTATTGCTAGCCAGTGTGTCAGTTCCACATACTGGTAGGGTTTAGACAAAATATAAAGTCATAAACCATGGTTTAAAATTACAAACCATAGTGGCTGGATTTATCCAGCATGGAAAGTCAAACAATAAAATATGTTCTAACACAATATGAATATACCTGCAGGACACTCTAAGCCAACTCTGGCACTGAACATGAAAAGGTACTTAAGCACACATTGTTGGCTGAAAAACAATGGCTCAGTTTACTTTTATTTCACATTTCTATATACTTTTTAAACTTTATACCATCCTATAATCACTGTTCTATATAAATATATATACTTGGTTGGATGGGAAAAAATGAAATAACTTTTCTTTTTAATTAAAAATCCTACTGGTCTAAGCCAGGGTCCCAGCTCCTCCAGACATTAAAGCCTAACACTAAGTGTGTCTCCCACATGTTTTGAGTCTCTCTTCTAGCTCTTGCATATATGTGGCGCGAGGAAGTTAACTAGAGCTAGTAGCAGCAGAAATATAGCAGCTGGAGTGACTCCATTTGGCAGCTGTTCCTCCCACCTGTCTTGATGTTAGTGGCCAAAGAGGGTGTTATAGATTAACCCTATATTTCATGAACATTTTCACAATTCAGTAGAGATGCCTTATAATTATATTATTATGGGAGAAGAATTTAATGAGATGTTAGACTTGAAGTAGATAGAAATGCCCCCACATAAACAAACAAACAAACCCTTCAGCAATCAGAATTACAATTCAGATCTATATGGAGGAGTGAAATTTGATTGATCCTTAGATATTGCTATGTCTCAAATAAAAGGGATTCACTTTTTATTCAGAAAACACTTTTAGATTAGATTTTTTTTGCCTCTTCAGCACTATTTCAATATATTAAACTTTGTAAGGATGATACTATGTATATATCACATCAAAGTCCAATCTAAACTAACAATATAATAAACCATCTATATCTTTCTTTGTTGAATGAGGTTGAATTTACAAAGCAGATTAATTCTGAGATATTACAATATTTTAAATAAAATGCAGATACAGCTAGTTCCTTGGTTTTCGGATAGGAAGCAATATACTTGTGATAGTGTTATTACATGTGTATCATACAAGAAAAAAAATCATGAGAACAATATGAAGAATAAATTGAAAACCCTTTGGACCTGTATGGCCAGAGCTCCTATCAATAATGCATATAGAAGAATGCAGCAAATCCAGATGCAGCAAACTCAGTTCTTCATAAGATGTCTTTGAGATATTATTTGGCTCAAATCTAAAGACATATCATGAAGAACTGACTTTGCTTTCCATGTTTGTATCAAAGGTATTTGGAAAATGGTGAAAGAGCTGGTAAGATCTTGGCAAACTGAAGAAGAAAAAAGCTGAACACATTATTACAGGTATTAAAGATGAGGAAGAGAAGTTATGAGGTTCATCTGAAGACAGCTTTCAACTGAGAATAGATCTCTTGAAGATATGGTGGCTTTTGCTTTTCATTCATTCATCTTCCACAATTAGATTTTTCACACCAAGAAGTATTAGTAGTTCCTTTGACTACTTATGAAAGTAAAAATGTTATTTTAAAGTTGAGTAATTCTAAAGCACCACAACTTGATGGATCTCCTGCAGAATATTATAAAACTATTGGGTAGGACAAATTTTGGATGACTCCCCTTAGTGGAAATTCTCTATCAAATTAACTTTACTTCTTTACTTATAATAGAAAAGGGATTAACTCAGTACCAAAAACATCAATTGATCTTAAATTATGTCTTATTCAGCAAAATATTTTAGACTTATTGAACCACATTCTATTTATATAGAAAATGCTTTGAGTTTATGCTTCATTTAAATATGTTTTTATAGTGTCCTATAACTGTTGTATTTGGGGATTAAGTTATTACATATATTAACTCAACTTTGAGACAGATTTAATATTTTCAGATAATCATATTCTTTAAAGTATATTATTTTCACACTGAAATTGACAACTGGAGAAAGAAAGAGAATTCTATGGACCCTCCTTAAAGTTAAAAGATTATTCTTCAGCACTGGAAAGATAAACATATGGCCCTAACTTCTATGCAGAGTTGATATCTATAGAAATTTGTAAATGAATCACTTGATATAAATTAACTATGGATAGTTACAATGAAATATGGCTATACAAATACGTTTTTCTTTTTTTCTTTTTTCTTTCTTTATAATTTTGTAGAGTTTATTTTTCTTTGTTTTATTCAACTAATAAAAAGCAAAAACAAAACAAAACCCCTTTCCAAAACACTCCCAACTAAGTTTAGATAACATTACACACTGTAGTTTAAATGAATAAACTTATAATAAATCGTGATGATCATTTATGATTAAGGTGCTCCTCCTTAAGGAAAATTTCTTGGTCAAATTTAATGTATGATCCAGATGTCATGATAGGCCTAACCACATTATGATTTAATGCATTGTGTGAATGAAGTAGGAGTGGAGCATATTTTCTAATTAATGCAACAGTGTATAAACATATTGACCATGTATAATCTGTTTTCTTACAAGATTATACTGTTGCTGACTTGTTGATAACATTCACACAGACTACATAGATAACAAAATAACCACATAAAATGTAACTAGAGCAGATGCCTTCATAGCAACTGTTGGGTTTTAATGGATTTCTGGGTGCATTTGTTTTTGCAAATTCACAAGTATTAAACCTTTAAAAAGATTAGAACACTTTTAAGCCTAGCTTTACCTCCATGTTAAAAGTTCTTTATGCTTCTTCTCCCTACTGAAAAGGATTTCCACTCTCCTGAGTTTCGTTTCATTCCTGTAAAATGAAAATAAAGTTCTAGTCATGTCAGAAAGTAAGATTACCTAATTAGTTAAAAGATTCTCACTTTAAAAAGTATCACATTTTTTTGTTTTGTTTTTGAAGTCCCTGCCCAGTAATTCAGAAGTATGGTTTAGGAAAGGGTTTTGTTTTGTTTCTTTTAATGTTGAATGGCTTTTCTCTACTGTCTGTCACACACCAGCAGAATTTCAGTCTGCTCACAGTGCAAACAATTTGTTTCAGCTGCAGTTCTCAAATACCTGCAATTCTCAATGGACTGCCACTCTATATAGCAGCCATGGGCTGCAATAAACCAAACCAAACCAAGTCAGGAGCTAACATGGCAATGACACATAGCATTTTCAGCCCTTTCTAATCATGGGTGGGGAGTAGAGGCTTAAACAAAAAAAAAAAAAGTGGGATGGGAGGTTAAGACATTTGGCTGTTTAATGGCTTCATTCTTCTGTTTAGAAACTATGGAAAGTTGTGTTGCCTTAACCCAAAAATTTGAAATCCAATGTCAACCATGCAGTGTTTGGGGATGAGGGTCCAGGATCCACAAATTGCCCATTATACAACTTCTCAGGGAGTGGGTCCTATTAAATTCAATAGGTCTTCTTTTGAGAGGAGATGCAAATGTTTGATCACCAGCGTCATGGCTGAAAAGTCAAGTTCCCAGACATGAAATCAGTAAAACCCTGAAAGCAGATCAGACTTGGTTGCCAAAGTAGTAATGTACAATAATGAGAAGACAGATTTGCTTGTCCTTCTCTTTTAGCCTCACATACCATAAGGCAAACCTAATAAGAAACATACTTTTATACTCTGTCAAATTGTATTAAAACCAATGCATGGGTAGGTTGCAGGGCACTGATTATTTCAGAAAAGCATGACTAAATAGCACTAAACTTTCCTGCAGAAACAGATGGACAAAGATGAGAAAGGGGAAGGATAGTCCTGACAGAGAATCCCTACACTCCAGAGAGAAACCTCCCCAGGGCAGTTGCTTTGAAATTCCCCATCTTGTTCCACCATTGTTGTTTTCTGTATGAAAGATGGAAAAGGGGCAGCCTTGGAATAGCACCTTGGGTTCCTCGTGCATTTTGGATGCACGATCACCAAATCGTAACAACTAATGATACATATCATAGGGTGTGTGTGTCACAAGTAACTCCTCCCACTATGACAGCTTCCTAATTTTGGCATGGTGCCATAGCGCCTCCCTCCCCTAAATTCCTGATAACCTGATCTCCATGCTGAAAGGCCTGAATAGTTGGGATTCAGATTTTGTTTTCCCCCAAAGTCTCTTCTGTGTAATCCCATTTATATAAAGACAACAATGAAAATCAGACGAAATTATTGGTTGTCATTCCACCAAGGTGGTTCAGGAGGTAGATTTAGCTCCTAGATAATGCCTGATTTGCTGGTATGATCCAGGACATCATAGATGGTACACTGTCCTAAAGAGTCTGGCTTGTGATTATGCCCCACATTCTATAAAACAGAGGTAAGTGGTCAGAGAAATGAAGGAAAAAGAACAATGTGGGGTGGGGGGGAGGAAATACCCATGTACTACATCCAAGCAGGAAGCTCAGATAATATCTTTCCAATCATCTTTTCTGCAGTGAATATTTGCTGAAACCTAAGAGCTTAGTCGAGAAGGCACTAAGGAAGTTGTTAAGCCAAGCTGACTATATTGATGTTTATTTGGAATTCTGCATACATGAAAACTGCCTTTTATCGCTTACAGTGTTTATATATGATTTATGACTGAATTATTTCCTTTCTTTCTAAAAAAAAAAAAAAAACCCTCTTGTGTGTCTAAAAACCTAGGTTCATTGGTTTTGGAAAAGAAATTCACATTAAAATGAAAAACTACAGGGCTCTATGGCTAACTCTTGTCTTTCCCAATTGATACAAAGTTTTATAAGTTCCATATTTTTGAGCTTTGAGCAGGAAGATTCAAACCACCTTCCTTTCTGTTTGCCTAGAGCTGGGCCAAAAATAAGTCCTTGGTAGAAGGGCTAAGAATCTCCAACTGGACAGACCAGGGTGTGCCGGGAGGTTCAGCTTGACAGATGACAGCCTATTGTAATAATCTTTCCTGGGAAATCCTTGGGAAAAGAGTTGAATTATCTCTCCTCCCAATTTATAATAGCCACCCACAAGCAGTCCTTGACATCTCCCTCAGATTGGGCAGAACATATACTAAATGTGTCAGTCATAACTTGATTAAACCAGAATTGGCTGGATTCACATACTAATCCAAAACAAAACAGACCCCATTCCTTTATGGCCAAGTGTAACATATGACCCCAAAGCCAGAATTCAACTGATGCGATGAGAACAAACGTTCTAGTTCAGAATTAGACTATGGAAAGACAGATCCACATCAATATCTTAAGCAGAAAAAAAGATAACACGAAGGTATATAGCAAAAGCAGGAGAAACAACAAATGAATATCAGAGCTGGATCACATCAGCCTTTTGTGGATCAGAGTGGCCAACCAGATGCCTGTGGGAAACAGATCGACTTGCCATGAGGGTGACAGCCTTTTTCCACTGCCAGAATGCTGCCTTTGATTCTGGAGTTGCTATTCAACCGTCAAAACCAGTAGCCACTGACAGTGTTATTCTCAATTGCTAGCTCCTTTTAAAGCCAACTAAACTGATGGAAATCACCACATCTATTACAGCTGTTATTAACTCTGTGTTGTGTAAATAAGTACTTCTTTTTATCAATCTTGAATCTTCCTGCATTTAGTTTTAACAGATGACCTTGAGCTCAAATACTGTTGGAGAAGCCTGCCCCTTGTATTTGCTAGGCTTATTTTCTTTAGCATACAAGATCTTTTATTTTTCTATCCTGTCTCTCTTTACCTTCCATTGCTGTAAACTAAAATGCTCTTCTAATAAATTAACTTATCCTTCACTGCATCTTTTCCAAATCTACCTTAACGTTTTTGAGATGAGGTGAGCAGAACTTATACAGTAGTTCAGGCACTGTAAGTTATTATGTTGGCAGTTTTATTCTCAATCCTTTCCTAATAATTTCTAATACAGAATCCTTTTTTGCTGCACATTAAATTACTGTTGTATTTAAGCTCCCCATCACAAGATTTCCTTCCTGATCAGTCACTGCTAACTGCAATCTCATTAATATGTGTGAAATTTGGAGGTTTTGCTCTAATATGTATGATTTGAAAAGTCCTTACACTGAACTGTATTTGCCATTTTAAAACCTATTCACCCATTTTAATATACCATCACAGCAATATAAATATTCATATGCAATTAAACATGCAAGAAGATACAGTGCATTTGGAAAGTATTCAGACCCCCTTCACTTTTTTCAATTTTGTTATGTTG